CTAGAGGGAAATTGGAGACTTATTTGAAGAGGGGTGTCAAACATTTGCTTTATGCTAGTATCAATCTTAAGGTTGTTATTTCAACCTGATAAGCGTTTTTGTGACCTAAAATTCAGTTCTGAAGAGTCCAGTTCAGCAGCACCTTAGGAGAGCATTCCTGCCCAAGTGGAAAATGTCAGAGCCCGTTAGATCTGTGAATTCTGTCCAGCCACCCTACATCCACCACCACCACTTCTGTAACAGATAACCTGCAGAGATGCTGGACTTGGAGCCATTACAAGGCTAATATTTTCACAAGGAAAACTGTTATTGAACAGTTTTCTAATGGATTTAGCACACACAAGTTTTCCTACATCAAGCAGGTACTTGAGTGTGCTCTGGTTCTGTTTCTTCAGTAAATATCTCCAGAAAGGATACTAAGAGGAAAATTCCTCTACATTTATTTTAGTTGCCCTCTGCCCCTCCTATGGATTCCTGAAGAATGGGCTTCATTTGGCTCCCAATTTGTGTCTTTTTTCATGTAAAAATTACCTTTAAAGACTCAAGTACCACAGGGTAGCAGGCAGTTTTTGGTAGTCTCCTTAAGTGATAGGAATTGATTTTCCTCATCTTGACACTTGAAATCTCAGAGGGTGCAATTACTTCATTGCTGGATTGTGCCTCGCAGAACTCACCACGGGGAGTGAGAAGGCGAAAGCCTCAGGGACTTTGTGGGGGGCCGAACAAGCTAGGGTGTCTTGTATAGAGCTGATTTGCCATCACTGGAGAGGGATGCTGCTGGAAAAACAATTGGAACACAGCCATGTTGACTCTGAGCCACTGCCTGAGGGCTGGAGCTGTTTCATTCAGCTTCTTGGGCCAGGCTCTCCCAGCAGAGCTCGCTCCTCAAGCTGCATGGGGCTTTGGCCTGCTGCCATTGGTCCTTGGTCCAGTGAGCCATGTGTGAGGTTCAGTAGTGAACCTATGATTCCTCTTGTTTCTGAACCATCCACTAGATGTTTGGTCAAAACAGTCTTCTACAAATGCAACTTACCTCATCACACTGGGTATCTACTAACTAAAGGCACCTTTCCTACACTGCTTAGTCTCCACTGTTAAAAAGGCACAGCTGATCCAGAGCACCACAACTCCACAAATGGACAGACAGTGCACTGTGATTTCTTTGACTTGGGGGCACAAAGGGACTGTGTCCTGTAGAGTCGGGCCATGAGGGAATGAGGAGTTGTGGATGTCCATCCTCAGAAGACAGAAAACAGAGTCATGAAGAGCTCAGGGTGTTTGGGGTTTCATCCTAGCCTGCCAAGTACCACTTCAGTCACATCTGGACTTAGTTTCCTTATCTGCCTGATGAGGATAACAAAACCTTCCTCAGGACTGTTCTGAGAACTACACAAGAAAAAATACGTTGCCCTGGCACCTAGTAGGCACTGGATAAATATCAGCTATTTTTACTATTGGATGTCTTCCAATTTGTTGTTTTTATTGTTACCAGTATTATTTATTTACTTATTTCACCATAAGTAAAGTATAAGAGAAAGTCACCAAAGAATTATGTAGGCCTCAACTGTTTAATCAGTTCTTACATGCACTTTTCCTTCACATCCTGCTACCGCTGGATTCTACACTTATCTTCCAAAAGATGGCGTTATGAATTTATTGCTGGTGTTTTTTTTTTTTTTTTACCTTTTACTATCGCAAAAACTGGAATGAATCTTAAAATTGAGGGTGTAGTAATAGGTTAGATGATTTATGATTGCAAACAAAGCTGACTCCTTCAGAATTTAGGATTGCACCACAAACACTATTTTATTGATGTTAGCAATAAATGGTAACATGCTCTCCAATTACATTTTTATTACACTTTGTCCAGCAAATCTCATAAATTACATATATTAATTGCCTCTTTAAATAGCCCTCATTGCCTTTGGGAACAAATAAACACAGCATTAAAATAGGTTACCAAAAGATCAGAAAATCCCCAGCAAAGGCAATTAAGTACATGAAGGAAATTCTCACTAGTACATGCAAGGTGAATGGGTAGATGGGAGTGTGGGTGGATGGGTGAGATTTAAGTTGGAATTGAATTATTTAATTTCTGTGAAATTAAATAATACAGAATAATAATACATGAACTCCATCCATGTGACTCGGATGTTCTCTAAAAGCAATACTTATGGAGAAATGAAATGAAAATCTGAAGTTACATATTACTTTCTTCCTTTAACATTCACTCCCTTGAGAGAGAGAGATCTGAATGCACTAAAGGTCTAGGAGGGAGGGAATACCATCATACATAACACATATGCATTAGTACAGGCCTTCCTAGTTGGAGAAAGTAGCCATGCATATTCCATCCTCCTTGTGAGGTGTTTATCAGATAAGTCACTGTTTTCATTGTAGGACTGTAGCTATGTGGACATTTTCTCTGAGAGTAGATGCTAAGTATGTTTTTATTAGCCATATTCACATCCATCCCAGAAATCCTCCATGTGGGTTGTTAGAGGACCAATCATATAGTCAGACAATTCCTTTTGGAAGTACTCCTCTCACATATGACAGAGAAGATTTTTTTTATTTCCATATAATATCTCAGTGGACATCATCTTATGAAAGTAAATTATTCTACAAAAAATACAAAACGAAAATTGAGGTTCTGGGTAGGCATCTACCTCATTCTGAACAATTAAAAATGGTTCCTCCTTTATGTAATTCTTGCATATTGGGTAAGTTCTCTAATAAAATCACTGCTGACTTGAGAGCCCTTGGGAGCCAAGGTGACTCTTTCTTGACTCACATAGACCTTGGGTATCTTATTCTCCCAGATCACCAGGCCCTCGTGAAGGGCCCTAGATTCTTCCCATATCTCTACAATAGGAAAATTCCTAATTTTATGAAAAGCAACATTTCACTACCTCATTACTAAGATCCAAAACACTATGATTTTTGGTAAATGGCACTTTTGGTGCGGATAGAATAGACATATCCACTGTGATATTTAATCAGAGGCTGGCTCAAGTAGTAGAGCACCTTGCCTAGCAAACACAAAGTTCAAACCCCAGTACTACCAAGAAAATAAAAAAATGAAATTTAATTCAGTCTGAAAAATATGAAAATTTATATGACTAGAAGGTACAGATAAAATATTTCAAAATATCTTGAAGTCCTCTGAGCTTTACTTGCTAAAGAAAGAAGCTAGTAGAAATCAGAGAGCAGACAGTTGTCCTTTCTGTTTTCTGGTTTATAAAATAAAGCTGTTCAAATTGGATGATTCCCTAAAATCTTTTTCAGTCTGAGTCCATGGTTTAATATCATGAAGCAAACCAAGTCAACCCAAGCTTGAAAATGAGTCATTGAAGAAGACTTGTTTTGCATATGGTGTGGGCATCTTTCTCACAAGTAGAGACATGGCAGCCTACCCCCTTGCAGTTTCCATGTCTCAGCCATTGACTACAAACCAGTTGGTCTTTGTGCTGAGATGCTTTCACTCATTATGATTTTAAGGAGTTAAGAGTACATGGTACAATCATGCTTCCATATGAAAGTAAAGTCTGGTATTTTCCCTCTACTCGACTAGGAAAAGTAAAGGAAGTGGTTTTACCTCAAGCATGTGAAAACATTACCTGCTCTGGTCCAAATATCAGCTCCAATTTTCTCCAGATTGGCCTATCAAGAAGATAACAGAGCATGTTAGAATATCCTTATCCAGCTCCAAACACTGCTGTAGCTCATTCTCTGGGGACCTGGAGGGTTTTATTCTCTACAATGTCTGTCTGATTTTGTTCTCCCAGAGTGCATTCTTGGGAGGTTGTAGGCATTGAATACATTTTTTCCCCTCTTGCTCTTTAAGGTCTTACTGCTTGCGTGCTCTTGTGGAAAAAGTGTGGTGCAAATGTTCCGTCTGCCCCTCATGTCTCAGATACCTTATAAACAGTGCCCTGCTCCCCAGCAGAAGGGGAGTTGGCTGTTTTTATCTAACATTCCTTTAGCAGATTAGTTGGCAGGTTCAGAAAATGAAGGCAAATTTAATCCAGAAAAGTATAAAAGTTCATGACCAGTCTGAGCAAATAACTGGGAGAAAAAAATCCTTTAAAAGGCGAAGAAGAAAGGTGTTCAAGGCCATTTCAAACACGCAGCCATCTTTTTAAATGCCACATTCCACCCACTAAACTCCATGCTGTTGTTTTTACCACTCTCATATTTTTTTAACTTTGTATTTAATTCTTCTATTTTAAAATGGTGAAATCCCATCCCCCTGCTCTCTCCAAAGGCCAAACATAATATGAAAATACCACAAAACACTCAGTGGGCAAAATGCAAGCAGATTACGATGGAACATACTGACTGCTCTGTGACTTGGCTTTTGAAAGTTTGCATTCAGGACTTTTGGCCCTCGCCCTTTAACAGGAAAGAAGAAAAATAAGTTACCTTAAACCCCACCAAAATTTGCTCAGAAAAAAAGAGGTTCCTGGTTTTATTTTACTGAGATTATTTTGTGCTTGGACAATTTAAAGTGTTCTTTTTGTGTTAAGTCTGTTGTTTGCAGGGATTATGGGGTAGGTATGGTTATGAGAGGCATGAATCAAGACTTACACATTTCAAGGAGAAGCTAGTTAGCTCAACAGTCCAAGGTTTTGGATAATATACTTGAAACCCATAGACTTTTATCACAATAATAAAAGCACTATTTTGGGAGCATTGTAATCCAAAGATCTGGTTGGTCTTTGACTTTGAGGAAGTAACGACTGAAGCTTTCTTTGAATCTGTTGTCCCATATGGAGAATATGTAAGTAAAACAGGAACCTTTCCAAGGTCAGTTCCTGCTCTTAAATCCTCCATGTGGTCATCTTTCCTGCATTCATGGATTTTTAGCTCATGCTGAGTGGGAATTTTCCTTTAATGCAGTAAGCTAGGTTTTATGTACTCTTCAGGAGTTAAAAGTATTTCTTTCCTCTGTCTTCCTATTTGACTTCCATTAATTCCAAGAGTTCTTGTGTTTATAGGAAAAGATTCTCCTGTGGCTTCTTCAGTTCATGCAGGAACAAGGCATCTCACTGGATGAAGTGGACCAGGATGGCAACAGCGCTGTTCACGTTGCCTCACAGCATGGCTACCTCGGGTGCATACAGGTACACATCCCTGCTGCTTTGCAGATAGAAATGAGAGTGTAAAGTGATAAAACAAAAAGTGAAAATCTTTATTCACTGGAAGAATGTGTGGATAAAATCAGCTTTCATGTTGTGATAGATGCTAAGAAATTATAAGGTTATATTTGTTTCCAAAAATCCACACAAATATAGCCATAAATAACCCTAAGAGTTTCTCCCTAAGTGTCAGAGGTGTTGAAAGGGACTTTCCCTGCTCTCTTGACATTACTCCAAAACCCCAGTTTTGAGGACAGTAGGTATTAAGTATACCCATAGTCTCAAGACAGGGAAAAAACTGTTCCCAGACACATCTCTTGATCTGTCAAATGGTAGATCATCCTCATCCTTATTAGCATATGTGTCCTCTTAGGTATATGAAAAAAAGGACAGACTTTCCAAGAATGGGTTAAAAAGTGTCTTCATAGTAGGCTAGAGAGTGCTACGGTTTCTTCCTTTCTCTGTAGTAGAGCTGAGTTTCTCACATGCACTTAAAAAGGCCCAGAATTAGAGAAGTTAGATATTGATCCTTTCAGGCTTTGGGCAGACAAGGCAGGACTATGGTTGGCCAGTCATTCCACCCACAGCCTCAAGGAGCCTTACGCTTCAAGCTCAACAAAAATTCCCATCTTTGTTGATTCCAAAATATTCACATCTTCTGCTGCAATGTTGTCAAAAGATTGGGGATCAGAGAGCCACAGGAGGCACCCTAAGAGCAGGGGTTTCTGCAGGAAAAGGAGGTGGTAGCTCATCCCCCTGCCAAATACAGAACTGCAGAAACCCCAGCCAAACCAGGCACTGTGTCAGAACGGGACACGGCAGGAAAGCCTAAGAGGGCTGCCAGAAGTTTGGAGTGTATGTGAACATAAAAGCAGATAGACCCTTTCACGGTGAAAATGCTGAAGCCATCAGGGACAGAGTGAAGAGCGAGAATGGCCGAAGAAGAAGGAGGCAGAGCAGGCAGCAAAAGAAGAGACTAAATGGGAAATGTGAACAGAGTTGAAGTTTAGGTTCGGCCTGGAATTATTTATTGATTTATTTAATGATTTATTTTTAGTTTTTGCAGTGCTGGGGATCAAACCCAGGCCTTCCTTGCACATGCCAGGCAAGCACTTTACCATCAAGCTACATCCCAGGCCCTGGGATTTCGGGTTTTGACCACAAATTGTAATTACCAGAGCCAGAACAATCAAACCATTCTTATCATTGAAAAATACCCCAACCTTTATGTATGTGTTCCCACATTTCAGGAAAAAGGAAGCTGACAGCATATGGCTGAAGGCTAAGATTAGAGAAAATACTTCTACCTCAACAATATCATACAGTTCAAATGTTATGTGTATAGCATGTATAGCATGTGACACATTTCCCACCTCTAAAAAGCAGCACTGTTTTTGATGTATGTATGCATGGATTTTTTTTCTTTTTGTAAACACAGGTGCTCATTTATTCAGCTGGTAACTCTGGAGGTCCTACTGTGTGCATGGCAAACTATCTGAGCCAAAAACTGGGCAGTGAGAACCAGTTGCTCAGGAAGGAAGAGAGGACTCAGGAAAATACATAGCAAAACCATAAATATAAAAGATGAGAGTAATAAAAACTAAAAGCAGAGATAACAGCAGAAAGCACTCTAGAGAATCTACTCACATGAAACTGCTGTTTGGAGTGCTAGCTCAAGATCTGAATGGTTTCCCATTACTGTTGGCAAAGCAGGCATCTTCTAATTTAATGCACCAGTTTTTAAAAGGAGGGATAAGAATTGGAAAGTACAGAAAAGAGAGATTTAAATTCAGACCAGAATCTATAGAAAGATTAAAGGCATAGCATTTTTTTTGTGGCAAAAAGATAATTCAATGAAGACTGAACATTATACTTTTCCATTTAACAAAACATTTAATAGTCCTGAAATAAACTTTTTATCAGCTAATAACTGACTGAAAGCTAAAGAAAACCAGGTGGTGTCACTAATTCTATTTAAGATCTTAACTATTTTTCCTTTTAATATATGAAGAGAGGCTGTCTGTCCTTCCAAAGCATCCATCACTCCTCTTAACACAAATGATGTTTTTGGCACTAGATAACATAGGTGTGGAAATTTCGATAGTCTTGGGAGAGGGTCTATCCATTTGGTGTGAGATTTTTAAAAAAAAATTAAAGAGACTGAGGAGCAAAGGACTTGTGAGGTGAGAGGGGACTAGGTAAGGAGAACAGTGGAAAGAAAACCACAGAGGTCAGAGTCAAGGGGAGCAATAACAGTGTGTGTTTATGTTGAGTCTCCTCAGGAGCTCTGCTGATGTGGTCCCTGAGATACCCCTGTGTAGATGGCAATGGCTTTATGGCAAATTGGCCTTTCACAGTGAGTGATCATCAACCCAAAGGAAAATGAAACTCCTTTATTACTTCTGAGTGAAAGTAGTCTAAGAATTTAAACACAAGTATTGTTTGTAGGAAAAAATCATTACTACCAAAACAAATCTAGAGCTTTGCAATCTCATTATAATATTGCCAGAGAATATATCAGATCGTGTTAGTTAATTAATACTGATGTAAGAGCTTTTTTGTGAATCTAATGACACTGCAGGATAAATGAAAACAGTTTAGGTGTTTTAAAATTGATGATTTCTGCCATGCTCTATCAAGTCTGCCTCTCCCCTACTGATACCTTGGCCAGATTCCATGACTTTCCACTTGCCTTTAACTATTAAAACTTACTTCAAGCCAGCTTAAAACTTCACTCTTAATTTCGAATTCACTGCATTGTCCCCGCTCACCCCAAGCCCAGATAAGAGCCTTGGAATGAAGAATGAGCCCTAATTGGTCTTTAACACTCCACATTAGCTCCTACTTCCCTCTCTCCTCTGGGCTGCACAAAAAGAGACAAAGGGAAGGTATGGAAAGAAAAGGTCAAATGTCTCTGCTTAACTGGGAAAGGCCACGGTCTGCCTGTACGTCAAACTGCTTCTTCGACCGACTGTGATCAGTGACACACTCTGTGGCAACATTCAGATGTACACTCTGTGGTGAATTGTATGGCCAGGGTCTTCAGAGGAACCTCTGGGGCTTCCCACTGGTACCTCACAGGGGAAATTTGGCTACAACTTTGGTCCCCCTGCCCCCATACAATGCCTTCAACCTATGGTGCACCTCACTGCTGACTGCTTCTAGAAAGCCCTCTCTTTTTTGAGGCAAGGCAGGGTGGAAACATGAAGCTCCCCTCCACAGAGTCTGCTCGATTTGCAAACATATCTTGCCATAGCACATTGTGGAAGTTAGGGCTGCTTCCCAGCCTTCCCACTGTCTTCCATACCGTTTCTCTCCAGTTCGTTTTTATTCCTGATCAGGTTGACTTAACAAGAGATCAACAAGTGTTATTCCAAAACCAGTGAGCACAGCAGAAGCATCTACAGAGATGCCATCTACAGGCATCTCTGACTTTATGTGTGATTCTTTTGGAGCCCAACCATCAAAATGAACAAAATGCCTCACCACAAACACTGCACTAACGTGCACTGTACATCTCAGAATGGAAAGGATGTTTTGGATAACAGCAACCTCCTCCCCTTTCTAACACCCACCCCCCCACCCTCAATTCAACTGAGGCTGTAGGTGGGATTGGTAATGGTAGGATTGGTCAGCTCCATCTTTGTAGACTCTGAAGGAAGGCGTCTGACATCAGCCACTGGAAGGTGGCTAGCAGCTCTCTTTTGTGTATACTGGCACTCCCTTCCCCCCAATGCCATGGGGGTAGGGCACTGGTTTTGGAATAACAAGGAGTCCTATTCAATGTTCTGTTATAGTCATTTAAAAATAATGTTTAGAGGAGGGCCCTGATAAATCACGTGTGTGCATTTTCTGACAGACGCTGGTTGAATATGGAGCAAATGTCACCATGCAGAACCATGCAGGGGAAAAGCCGTCCCAGAGCGCTGAGCGGCATGGGCACACACTGTGCTCCCGGTACCTGGTGGTGGTGGAAACATGCATGTCCCTGGCCTCGCAGGTGGTAAAGTTAACCAAGCAGCTGAAGGAGTAAGTGGCCCATTGGTTCCATGTGAACGTCCGACTTGCCATTGTTGTGCTTAGATTTCAGCCGGCTGAGCTCCCTTGGTTTCAGTTGCAGGGGAATGCCTAGCATGCTCTTTGTCTTCTTTTCCTCCTCTGTCCTAAGTGCTCACAGCAGTATTCATGCTGCACATACCATCTCTGCAGAGGCAAAATGGTATTTAAACCACACAGTGCAGAGCAAGCCAGAGTGGATAAGGAGAGAGAGCCTCTGTCTGTGTTCACTTCTCGGGGCCAGATTGCATAGCAGGACGTTGGTAGCACACACAGGCATTGTCTCTGACCTTCTGTCCTTAATAGTCTAGGACATCATTAAGGGTATAAGAAAGAGAAAGGCTGGAGATGGTCCAGTTTCTCAGGTTTCTCAAAAAGTTTTTCTTTCCTGTATGTTTTGTAAATTACGTATAAGTAATTTTGTACACATCACCAGCAAATTATGTACAAAATAAGCAGATGATTAATGAACCCTCAGAATATAAAAGTGTTCACTGACACACATTACACATCTGGGTGTCAGAGAAGTGTTTCTGAGAGATTGCCATGAAATGTTTGAAGAAATGGGTGGCTGGGGGGGATCCCATCAAGTAGGTTTCTAGCAAGTAGAAGGATTAAGGAATTAATGCCCACCTGACAGCCCTGGGTCAAATTACAGTGTCATATTGGGAGAAAGTTTACCAGAACTTGGAATCAGTATTCAAAGAAAGATTATCAGATTAAGAGGAAAAACTTTAAAAATTAAATTCTAGAGGGAAAATATAAAGCCTTACTTTTAAGCTGTATATGCATACACATATACAGTAGTAAGATATAGTATAGTGATATGCCAGGGTGGGTGTGATACCTTAATTTGTGATAAGTTTTAGAGCTGCCCCACTGTGCACCTCCCCTGCCATTACTTAATCTCTTTAATGAGTATAGACTTTTCCTAGAAAATAAAATAAAATTTGAAACTTAAAAAGTAAAGAGTTATCTCCAAGCATCCTTTATCTAGCTAAACTCAGGACAAGTAAGTGAGGTGGGCTTAAAGATCTCAATGTAACTGAAGGGAAAATGTACATAAATTAATAACTCAGTAAGTTTTTTTTCCACCGTGAATATACTTTTACATATGTCTCTATTTACCTGTATTGGTATTCCTAAAAGTAAGTCCTTGCTGAGGGAATTGCTAGAACAGAAGGCACACATATTTAAAATGTGAGTAGATGTTGCTAATGTCGTTCCAAAAATGCTATACCAATGTCCTCTCCCTCTAGTGGTGTCTAGTGGTGTATGGAGGTAACCATGAAAAGGAACTTAAAAATGATCCACTATTTTTTTTCCAAAAGTTCATATTCAAAACCAAAGATCAGTAAAACATTCTCCTCAGCCTTTATACTATGGAGTCTGAGAACCCTCCTGAGCTACCTATCTGTTTTGTTGGTGAATTGTGTCAATTCAGGGTCTTGCTGCTCTCTGTTGATGGTCCTGGGATAAACTGTACATGTATGCATCAGACAACAGTCCTGTTGTCTCCAGAACTAAATGTTCTAGACAGATGTAGATGGATGAATGACAAGATAAAAAATGAGAGGTTATCTTATAGACCCTAGTCTTTCATGTACTGCGTACATCAGAGAAGTTGGCAAAAACAGAAATAAACAGAGAAATCCACTTAGTATAACCACAGTACATATAATGTGTCCTTTGCCCTATGGCAACAGCCACAGCACACAAAGGTGTAGGAATGGAAATGTTTTCCAAGAATGGAAGAGATTAGTCGTTTCAATCCAGTCGTTGTGAGGGCAAATGTGCTTATTCCTACTATAATACTTTTTACCAACTCCATAATTAATAAATAAAGCTGCTATTTAGAAATGGCAACCTCCAGCTCTATTGAAGTCCCAATTCACAACCTAGGTATTTTGGATTGAATTCTACCCCCACCAAAAAAGATATGTGAGAGTCCTAGACCCTAGAATGTGGCCTCATTTGGAGGTAGGACCTTCACATAAGTAATCAAATTGAAATGAGGTCATGTCAGTGGGCCCTAGACCAATGATTGATGGGAAATTTAGACCCTGAGACAAACATACACACAAGGAGAGCTAGTGTGAACATGGAGGCAGAAATCACAGTGATTGCATCTACAAAACAAGGAACACCAGAAATTGCCAGCAACCTACCAGAAGCTAGGAGTGAGAGAAGCATGAAACAGACTCTTGTCAGCCCTCAGAAGGAACCAGCCTGGCCAATCCCTTCACCTCTGACTTCTCAGGCCTCCAAAACTGTTAGACAATGTATTTCTGTTGTTTAAGCTACCCTGTTCATGGTACTCTATTACAACAGCCCCAAAACACTTATATAATAGGCATATGCTCATATATTTTCTTCCTATAATAAAGTTGATGAGTCCTTTCTGAGGGCTTCTTTTGAATCTGGGTTGTAGAGTTGCCTTCCTTCATACCTGAGATCCCAGCCCACAGTCAACCCAACTGTCCTCAAAAGCTTTTTTACTGCACCATAATTCATTTAAAACACCTAATAAATCTTTTAAAAGTAGAATACAATCTTTCTTCAACTATTTTATCCCCCCACACTCTTTTTTCTCAAAAACTTGACGTGGATTACCAAGGATAATAGAATGCTCAGTTTTTTTGGAGGGGGCTTATTCTTTTTTTAAGTTACTATTATTTTTTTTTAATTTTTAATTTTTTTATATTATTGTACTGGGGGTATATTGTGACTTTTTTTTATTATTCATTTATTCACATGTGCATGCATTGCTATTCACTGGGCCAAACCCAGCCCACCACCTGTTTTTGTAAGGGAAGTTTCATTGGCATACATCCACACACATTCATTTATGTACTATGTAAGCCAGGAGTAGGCTACAAAGGTAGGGTAAAAAAGTTGTGATAGAAGCTATGTGATTCACAACCTAAAATGTTTACTCTCCTAAAATGTTTGCTGTATCCTGCTTTAGACAACAAAGTTTTCAGTAGGGTTTGGAAGAATAAATAAGATGAAATGAGATTGTAGACTTAGGGATGAAATGTTAGGAATAAAACCGCTTCTGAGAAAAAGAGAGTACTTGGGGTTTATGGAAGATATTATCAGAATGACTTCACAGAATTACACTCAGGCAGACATGGGAATATTCTGCAAGGAGAATGCAGGGCTTCCTCTAGCCAGTATCTTAAGTGTTTTCAGAACACTTAAAACTCATTCATTTAGTTTTAAGCCCTGGCTCTTGAGAGCTGCTACCATTTTTTATGCTGATTGTATTAGTTTCCTATTTTTGTAACAATTTTCTATCTACCATTTTAAGCCATTAGTGACTTAAAATAGCACAGATTATTTTATGCACTTTTGTAGGTCAAAAGGCCAGTGGGGTTCTTGCCAGACTAAAATCAGTGTTGGAAGGCTGTGTTCCTCTGGAGGCTCTGGAATAAGTGTGTTCTGCTCATTCAGGTTGCTGGCAGAATCAGTTCCTTGCAGTTGGGGACCAAGGTTCCTACTTTCCTACTACCTATCAGATGGGGTCGTTCCCAGCTGCATTCCATGGCTCATGGCCCCCTTTCTCCATCTACAATACAAGCAACAGGGAGAGTGAGTTCTTCCCATACTGCTAATCTCTCTTACCTACTCTTCAACCTCCTCTTCCACTATAAAGATTAGATTGGAACCACCCCAGTAATCCAGATTAAGACTTTCTATTTCAGCATCAGTTGATATTCAGCCTTACCTCCCTTTTTTCATGTGAGGTATGATAGCCACATTTTCTGGGAATTAGGATATGGATGGACATCTTTATGGGTACCACACTAATACTACAGAGTTCAGTAAATACTGCTCATTCCTGTAAAAGAAGACTCAGTCTGATTTACTTATTTAAACTTCTGAAATAATTAGTATTTGTCTTTAACATATATTTTACTTCCTGTAACCTGTAGCATTTTCTTAACTTTAAAGCATATTCTGATTTATGATACTCTGGTGTCCAGAGAAAATGGAATGTCAGCATATATTGCTTTCCCCTTATATAAGAAAATACCAAGTTAATTACCTCAAGTGGAAACAGTTTGCTTGTTTTGTGTAGGTTTTTTTAAATCCATAAATTGATATAATTACTTTAAAAATTCAAGCAATTTAGAAAGAGTAAGCAACATTTTAAAGTACATCCTTCCATTTTTTTCTACTGATATGGGGTGAGAAATAAATAGAAAGATAAGGAGTAAGAAAGTTTTCTTTAAAATTATACTATACACAGTATTTTGTCCTTTTTTATTTAAGGCAATAAATACAATATATATTATATATATATATATAAAATCTGGTATATATATATATATATATATATATATATATATATTATCTAATATATATATAAGACAAATATTTTGTATGTTCACAGGTATTCAAATATATTATTTTAATTACTGCCATTATTAAAATAACTATAACCTGTTTACTTGGTCTTATTGAGGTGCAAATTATTGTTCACCAACATGAACAGCAAGCATCCTTTTGGTTATTTTTTGCCTTAGAAAAATTCCTGAACTATGAGGATAAAGAATATGCACACTTTAAGGCTTTTGAATTTATTGCAACTTACTGCATGTATCAGAGAACATACGTTTTGGTTGTTTTCTGCAGACAAACAGTGGAGCGTGTCACACTGCAGAGCCAACTCCAACAGCTTCTAGAAGCCCAGAAATCGGAGGGCAGGTCACTCCCTTCTTCACCCAGGTAACACCAGGCACATTGGTGTGCAGAGTTCTTAAGTCTTACATCTTTGAACCTTCTTCTAGATATCCTTTTAATATCTTTTAAGAAAATGACAATGATTTTATTCTCTTGAGGAATAAAAGTAAAATAACACAGTAAAAACATCAAAAGACATAGGGTCAGAAGACCTGGCTCAATCTCTGACTCAACTATTTTTTGTTGCAGAACTATAACCTAGTCACGTGCTCTTTCTTCTTCATTTCTTGACCTATGAAATGGAGTAGAGATGTAAGTGTTGATAAGATTGTAGAAAAGGAACTGATTGAGAAAACTGATGTAAAATTGATGTGGGGCATGCCTGCAATCCCAGCACTTGGGAAGCTGAGGCAGGAGGACTAAAAGTTGGAGTCCAGCCTGAGCTGCACAGTGAGATGCTGTCTTAAAACAGAAAAATTTAGTAGTTACGAGGTACGAGGCTATACTTTGACTACAGTAGAGTGTTTGCAAATTGCTTTGAAGTCATTATGTGATTATTCTCAATTCAATTCTTACTTATTTGTGAGCCAGTAGTAATATTAAAGTCCGTGCAGGGTTGTGGCTAAGTCATGTTAGTGCAGTGGGAAATCAGCTCATATTTCTTTCATCCTTTCAGTTCACCCTCCTCACCAGCTTCCAGAAAGTCCCAATGGAAAGCTCCAGAAGCAGACAATGAGTCTACAATCAAAAGCAAACCAGGAGTCCAAGAGGGGATTCAGGTTCTTGGAAGCCTGTCAGCATCCAGCCGGGCGAGGTCCAAAGCAAAAGACGAGGATTCTGATAAAATCCTGCGCCAGTTACTGGGGAAGGAAATCTCAGACAATGTCTGCACCCAGGAGAAGCTGTCTTTGGAATTCCAGGATGCTCAGGCATCCTCTAGAAATTCGAGAAAGATCCCTCTAGAGAAGAGGGAACTGAAGTTAGCCAGGCTGAGGCAGATGATGCAGAGGTCACTGAGTGAGTCAGATGCAGACTCCAGCAACTCTGAGGACCCCAAGAACACACCTGGGAGAAAGGCTGACAGGCCCAGGCCGCAGCCCATTGTGGAAAGCATGGAGAGCGTAGACAGCGCAGAAAGCTTGCACTTAATGATAAAGAAACATTCCTTGGCATCGGCACGCAGGTTTCCTTTCAGTATCAAGGCTTCTAAATCCGGGGATGGCCACAGCCCGTCTCCCACCTCAGAGGGCAGTGAACCTGACTTGGAATCCCAGTATCCAGGCTTAGGGAACACTCCTCCAGGCCAGCTCTCCAGAGAACCCACTCAGTACAGCCCCGACAGCACAACTGCTCAGAAAATCGCCACAAGTCCCAAGAGTGCCCTCAAGTCTCCTTCATCCAAACGCCGCACATCTCAGAACTTGAAACTCAGAGTCACTTTTGAGGAGCCTGTGGTGCAGATGGAGCAAAGTAGCCTTGAACTAAATGGAGAAAAAGAAAAGGATAGGAGCAGGACCCTCCAGCGGGCCTCCGTGGGCAGCGAGTCAGGGGAACAGTTGAAAAGGCCTTTTGGAACCTTCCGATCCATCATGGAGACATTAAGTGGCAACCAGAACAATAATAATAACTATCAGGCCGCCAGCCAGCTGAAGACCTCTACACTGCCCTTAACCTCTCTTGGAAGAAAGACAACAGATGCCAAGGGAAACCCTTCAAGCTCTGCTAGCAAGGGAAAGAATAAGGCCGTGAGTGCTGTTTGGGGAATATCCTTTCACAACCCTCGATTGTGTCATTGCCAGCACCACAGAGTGTTGGCCTGTGCTATCTTCAGGAATCCCCAAAATAATTCTGAAAGGGTGCCTGGAAAGCCAAATTCATATGTTTCTACTAAAACATGTCACGTTAGAGTACATACTCCTAGCTCTTCCTTTGGAAAATACCCTAAAAGAGACAGAAAAAGAAAATCACAGGAGGTTACATTCTGGTCCTTCAATTTACCCAAATGGATTGGTCTGTGGGTGTTAAAGGTCCTAGGCTGGAAGGCATTTCTAAAGCTGAAACCACCAGCCAATACAAAATCAGGCCCTTCACTGGCACTGATTTCTGCCTGAGGAAGAATTTGTTCTCTTCCTGTGACCGATATTTTGTGCTCAAACTCAATTTAAAAGCACATAAATAGAAACTCCATTTCTAAAGAGTTTTCATTACTCAACTTTGGAGTGACCTTTGAAATAAACATACCACAGGGCTTTCTACATTGGCATTTTACAATCCAAGCCATTAAGTGTTGATTGGAGCCTAAAGGAAAGTGAAGGGCTTGTCGGTACCCAGGTGACGGCAGAGGTGCCATTGCCTACATTTTATGGTTGCATTTATCGGAAACCCATTTGCTATAATCTGTGATCTGCACCCACTGAATAAGAGATATATATGTCTTTTTAGGTGGTATTTTCTACATGTTCTGTGCTTGCCATACTATCAAAAACAGTATAGCAGTCAAAATACAAAACTCTGTGGAAAGGAATGACACAGATCATCCACCATTCCACCTAGATAAACTATTCACTGGAGTATCAGAATCTGCACAGCCTACTATTCTCTACAATGTTAAAAATCTTATTACAGTGAAATGTAAGAAGTGACTGGTTCTTTCTTTGGTATCAAATCAAATTTTAATTAGTATCTCCTTAATTGAACAAATATCAATTTTAAATAATATATGAATTTCCCCTGAAAATTGCCCTTGTTTAAAGGATTCCAGCACGTATTTATTTCATCTAGAAAAGCCCTCCTTGTGGCTGAGACACCAGACCTTTGGGTTAAATATACCAAAACTTAAAATTGCTCAACATAAAACTTTTCCTAGTAACTTATAATTCTGTGGATCAGTAGTAAAAAGAATCATCTCAGTTTCCCATGCTCCTTCGAGCACATCCTAGGTCTCCATCCTCTAACCTGTCTCTAGCATGCCTCATGTTTCTGGGGCTTGTGCATGTGCCAAGCTTGTTGCATGTTTTCAGATGGTTTTTAATTACACCTCTCTAGGAGATGTTCAGCAGCTGCATCAATCTGTCCTCTAACATGCTGATTGAAGAGCATCTGCATAACTCTGCACGGTACGTGGTACCTGGGGATGCATTACGCAGCACTGTCGTGCCTTTGCTTTGAATTGCATGAGCTTTTCAATTATGGGCCTGTAGCACCTCTCAACAAAGAAGAAGAAAAGTGCAGTCTTCCCCAAATTGAAGCATGTGCAGCCAGTAACTATGTCTTAGGAAGGTAGCTAGCATCCATTGGAGGGGTTGTATTCCAGCATCCATCAGAGGAATCTGCTCAGTTCACAGACCTGCTGTGTTTCTTAGTTGACTTTGGCTTTTACTCTTTGTTTTAATGGAATGAAGTACCAAATAAGTATTGAAATTAAATTTCTTGTCATGGGTGGAAGGAGTCAGCCTCCAATCAGAATCTGAACTTTGAAGCAGAGCTGGAGCTTTATTTCAGTGCTCATTTCAGACTGAAAGTTCCTTTCATTGCCATTCTTCTGATCTCAGGAGAAGCGAGGCCTCACCCTGCTGAAACCTGCATAGCTTAAAATTATGAACACAATTCCAGTCTAGAAGCCAATCTTATGAATGCCCACCAACAAAACAAGGGTCTTTCTCACACAAAATGTTTACAACTCAAAAATGCATGGACTGTGTATGCACAGGAGAGGATGTCCCCAGGGCCTGGAGCACCTCCATGAGCAGAGTCCTGCAGACTAGGGTTCACCCCTCACTGGGAATATGCAGTTTCCTGACCAGGCAGGAAGTGGGAGGAGTAGCAAGAGAATAGTCCAACAAGAGTTAATGTGGTCAGTGTGTCTTGACAGGTTTATTTGAGAAGAGTTAAACCTCAACTCATTTTAAAAGAAAACTATTGCTTTTAAATCTTTTAAACAATTGAAAAATCATGACATGCTATTCAGGACTCTCAAAATCCTCTGAAGAGTGTGTGTGTGTGTGTGTGTGTGTTTTACACATTTGAATTTTAGTTCACAATACTGAGGTACAAGAAAGTGGCTGTCCTTTTTCCCCCCCTCAGAATCAAATTTAATATGCTTTAGGGCTGTACTCAAGCTGAAGGGAAATTAAACCACCGTAGCCATGTTAGGAATATCTAAGGGGTCTCATTAGTACACTGAAGGAAGAACCTTGAAGTTTCAACATTTATTGGTTACCACTGAGCACCAGTGGTCTGCTTGGGTATATAGCTTACCTGGCCTGAAGGCAGGCATCTGGACAGCTCTAGCCATCATGGGGCAGAAAGTCTTGGCCAGTGTGGAGAGCCCAATCCTGAGGTAGGAAAGGAATAGGAATAAATGCTATGTCCCCCAGACACTGGTACTTCCCCACTTCAACCTAGGCTTCCCACTTCTGTACCCTTTTCTATCCCCATCTTTGGTTGGATGTGTCCTCTGGTACATGGAAAAACTCTGCTTTTGTCCTTAAACATCAGTCACAGCAACGCCCTAAGGCAAGGAATCACAAAGACTTGCAAAATCTTGGGAGTGGGAAGAATTACCTCTCACTTCTTCCAGGCTGTTTCAGCAACTGGGAGCAAGACAGTGTCATCATAGCATCTCCTACAAGAAATATATCCTGTTTACCAGCAAGGGCTCAAAGCTAAACAATTTACTAGAATTATAAAAATCAGACCACAGAAGGAGGCTGTAGGCTCCTAGGCTATCTGACACAATGTTAGCCCTTTCCCTCTCAGCTTACGGAATAGTCCCTCCAAAGACTCAGTTCCAAACCTACCAGATGCACTGGCTTTATGTATTAATAGAATTTGATTTCAGCACAAAACACTTAGAAACTCCCAAATTAAAAAAAAAATCAGTGTATTAGATAAGCACCATGACCTTTTCCCCTAACTACCCTATACATTAACCTATATTTTATCACAGTTGTAGTTTGGCATGTATATTCCATAAAAAGTAGGAACTCTAGATTTTTCATTTTTTTCATATTGAAGAAAAGTGTCTGTCACTCAGACTCACACACAGGCAGGGAGAACCAGCCTGGTCCACTCCTCAGATAAATCAAAGATGAATCTCTGTACATGAAATGAAGAGTTCATGGACAAATTAAGACTGGAATGAAATGTTGGCATGAAAATATCTAGTTGGCTCTGGTGCCTGCCTCATTTTGCCTATGAGGCCCCACAGGAGAAAAGAAAGAAGCCCAAACATTCAATTTTCACCAGGTGGCTCCTCTCAGGTAGCAGGAATTACCCCATCTGTGGGTGGGTGGTGGTGGCAAAAGTCACTGCTACTGAACGGCCCTGTAAGAAGGGTCCTGGGAAAATGAGTGCCTCAGCAGGTCTCAGTTCTGGAGATACACTATAATCACATTTTAGTTTCTAAGAAAGTTTTATTTTTCCTGGTAAAGGAAAAATAAGGACAATAAAAAAAAACATTTTAAAGAATGTCAGCTCTGTGAGGGGTTCTCTTTGCTATTTATGTTTCTAAATTGGTCACATCTCAATAGTGAAGAATCTAAATTTCTTTTCAATGCTCTTAAAATTAGATTCAGCCTTATTACTTTGAACAGCTTTCCCAGTGTCTTTCGGCTGCAGAGGATGACTTGCTTTATAACTTTTTCTTACAAAGGATAAGTTGGTTTTGAGTTATTACAATGCCAAGGAAATGTTTTCAATTACCAGTCTTAAAATGTCAATTAAACATTCATGATCCAGAATTTAAGTGCATCTGAGATCTGTAACACAGATCTTATCAACACAGGAAGACAGCGTTGATTCCAGATTCCAAAAGTTACCACCAGTAACACCCTCTCTGACTAAATGGCACTATTGCCGGAGGGGTTAGTATCAGGTACAGCCCTGATCCCAGCACAAGCATTAGAAGAGACTCCTTAAAAAAAATTAAGCAATAAACATCATTAATATGGACTTTACTGTGAATGACTTAGCCACACTGGAATTATATACCCAGAGCCAAAATCAAATAGTTTTCATAGATTTCAAAGATGTTCAAAAGCTACTTCAAAGAGAGTGGTCTGGTTATCCCACGGTGGTGTGACCGATGTCTGCTATGGCTGTGGTCATCTATATGCCCCATAGAAGTGGGAGAGAGAGAACGCCCTTGAAAACCAAAATTATCCTGCCAGAACACATTCTTTCAGCATGCTGATCCTGGTTTTGCAGAGTGAGAAAACCTAAGAATGAACAGCCCATTTCTCCATCTCCATCCTTCTTTCCTCACTACCCAAAAGTCTACTTGCCAATTGTGTAACCCCAAAGGGGAGACATGCTCCATATTGTCATAGTCACATCGTATATCTGCTACCACTAGGGACTTTATTTTCATTAAAAGAGAAGAGCCTAAGGATCATGAGTTCAAGGCTAGCCTGGGAAAAGTTAGGGAGAACCCATCTCAAAAACAAAAGGCTGAGGGTGTGGCTCAAGTGGTAGCACCCTTGCCTAGCATGTGTGAGGCCCTGAGCTCAATCTCCAGCACCTCAAAAAAAATGTTTTTTAAAAGCAATAGATTAATGGTAGTTTGAAAACACGAAATAGAGACATTACCCGAATACCTTCCAGTGCCTTCACCAAGCCTCAAGTCCAGTCAATTGACCTTTTCCCTGCTACACTGAGGTCAGCTCAGGCATGTGACCTTCCAGAACCATGTCCCTGCATGGCCAGGACATTCCTTTCAGCATCTTTATCACTAAGTCACACATTTGGCTGTGCCAACATAAGGAATTGTCCCTGAGCTCAAGGAGGTCATAATCAAGAGAGAATTAAAGGACAAAATTAAAACATGGAAAGTTCCATGAAGGGTCTGAGAGCCTCATGAGAGCAGTGACCCTCTAGCACCTCTGTTCCCCCATTTGTACTCCCAGTGTCCAGCTAGGTACCTGGCACAGGGGAAGAACTTCAGAAATACTCAAAGAGAAATAGAGAGGAAAGGGTGAAAGAAAAGAGAAGAAAAAAATAACAGGAAGAAACCCTGAGCCAATCTTCCCACAGAAAACGTGCTGTGCTCTGCATCAATCCTTTTGGGTCAGGAGGCCACCTTCCTACAGTGAGCTCCACTGGGGCAGCGCAGTGCAAGCTTCCGTACTGTGAAGCAGATCCCCTTTGTAGAAGATGAGATGCGTAGCTGCACTTTGAATGAGACCTAAGGGACAGGGCAAGAACCCCCGTCTCGGGCTAACGAGGGAACGTGCCGCATGCTGAGGGCCGTGCGCACGGAGCCCGGTTGTCACGCGCTGCGGAGATGCACACTCTGTGCCTAGGCAACTCGGCAATCTAAGAAGAAATCTTACAAGATTACTTGAAAAACTGTTATTTAAACTTAAACATTTTTTCTTCTTTTCAATTTTGGTCACTCAAAATGTCATTTCATATCCAAAAATGAAATCCAGGAACAGCAAATTATCTTCGTTCTTTTGAATACTGGTAATTGGGAACTAGGTAATTGAAGGGTTCTGGGAGGATTGAATTCTATTACTATTCAGATAAATGTCGCAAGTTAACATTTGACTTTGTTTAGACTTAGCTCTTTAAGCTGGGATTTGAGTATTCTTTCGGGGGTTTTGAACACAGAGCCCTCTGTATTAAAGCAGAAATAGCCCATCAAAGTCTGAACAATATTATCTTTAGACTACAATTTAAGCTTTCTTTATGCCTTTCTATTTTTAATAGAATTTCATCAAGATAATACAATACATATAAGAGCAATACTAACATTATAACAAAAACTGGCACTCTCCTGTGCTCCATTACCTGTCTCTAAATTAACCACTTGCTTTTCCTTCACATATTTTCTCTGTGTTCTTTATATCAAGATAACAGGCTCACAGATTTTCAGTTCCAGGTATGATCCCCCTCATCCGTTGGCATCCTGCTATAGAAGATAAAAATAATAAAAGCATTTACAAAAAGCAGAGAATACTCCAGCTGCTTTGTACAGATTTACTGTTTTAATCTTCACAATGACACATGTAGTAGATACTGTTATCATCCAAATTTTGCACTGGCAACAAGCATAGATGATGATGTATCTTGCCAGAGATTACACAGTAATGGTGGTTATAAATTGTGGAGCCAGGGTTTGAATTTTTCCAGTGTGGCTCCAAACACCATATTCTTAATAGTGAACCACATGTCTAGTTCTAGTTTAGCATCCAACTCTCGGGTTAAATCACTCTTGGAAGTTAAATCAGGATTCAGTGTTTATTATTATGGGCTTTTAAATATTAATCACAACAAATCCATGTCATGTTCTTTCTCATACAACTTTATGTTTTCCCTGGAAATAATTATTTTGATTTCTTAGTTTGCAACTTATTTCTATTCACTCTGCTTAAGACAAAATCCACCTTTCATTGCACTGAGACAGCTTCAGTGTCTCCCATTCTCTCTGTCTGGAGAGACCTCCTTTACCTCTGTCCTTTACCTGTGCTGTCCTCGGGCCCTGCAGCATGGCTTTGCCCTGCAGTCTCCCACCTGTATCATCTCAGAAATTCGTTGGCTTCTTTTCTTTGTAGATTTGCCTTTTCCCTTTTTTTTTTTTCATGATTGACTTTTGTGGCTTAGTCAACACACCTTCCTACCCAACAAAAGTAAGTGCTAAATTTTTTGAGCTCTCACATATCTGAAAATGTGTTCAATTTACTGGATTTGGTGTATATTGAGAAATTTTTTCTGTGGATCCTTGAACACATTGCTTCATTTTCCTTCCCCTCCACTGTCTCTGTTGTGAAGCTCCATGTCTCACTGATCACTGATCCCTTGGAAACTTCTCTGATGATCTCTTTATCCCACTCTTGTGATTTCTTGATGCTTTGCTATGATGTGGGTCTGTTTTCTTGCTGGGCTGTGGGCACCACAGCTTTTCCATTCTGGAACCCTGTGAGTCTCAATTGTGGGAAGAGCCTTATATAATTTCTTTGAAAACTTTTTCTCCTCCAATTTCTCTTTTCATTCTTTCTGGAAACCCTGTTGTTCTAATGTTGGGAACACCAGACTGATCCTCAGATTTTCTTAATACTCCCTCTTTATGTATATTTTTGATTTTTCTAGCTCTGCTTTCTAGGATATTTCTGAAACATACCTTCTAATTTTATATTAACTTTTATTTTGAAATCATAGTAGCACTTTATTGGTTTTTTCTTGGTTCTTTCTTTTATAGCACTATATATAGAAATCTTATTTAAACTTTAGTAATCAAACACAAGCATTTTTAAATTTTCTTTTTCTTTTTAAATTTTTTTTGGGGGAGACTCAGGGCCTCATGCTTCCTAGGCAGGGGCTCTACCACTTGAGCCACACCCTGACCCTCTTTTTTACACTAAAGCTCACATACTACACAGTCCTAACATGCTGGGGTCTCTATGTGTTAGTCTAAAGAGAGTTTCTTCACTCTCTCATGGTGCTGTCATCTTCTGGGAAGCATGGCACACCTATTTCCTACATCCAGCAGTGCACATCAGAGTGCTGGGTCACCTGACGATAGCCCAGTGTCTGCTCTGTTAAATCAACTCCAGATGTCCATCTACCTTCCCATTTCTGAAATGTTAATGGTGTTCTGTCTGTAATCTCCTTACCAATTTGTCTTCTTGATATTGACATAGTCCTTCTAAATTTTATTACTTTCATTTGTGTTATTTTATAAGCCAGAAGATGTGTGTGTATCCAGTACTCACATGTAACTGGAAGTCCGTAGAACATCTGTAGCCAACTTGGTTTTCCTTAGGACTTCTTCCCTTTCCCTTCCTTTGACACCTCTCTAAAATTTTATCTGGAGGAATGAACAGAAATAAGATTATAGGGTGGGGGATTATGGGAATATAACTGGGGGATGACCTTGTTCAAAGCACACTGTATACATCTATTACATTATCACAGCAAAACTCCCTTTTACTATTACTGTACACTAGTTAAAAAAAAGAATTCTAATTTTCAAGGAAGATGATCAAATGTTTATTAGAACACTGCATGGTTTTTGAGTATATTAATGTTTTGCATTACTATAACAAAATACTTGAAGTTGGGTAGCTTTATAAAGAAAAGAGGTTTAGATTGGGCATGGTGGTACACGTCCTTAATCCCAGGTATTTGGAAGGCAGAGGAAAGAGGGTCATGAGTGTGAGAACAGTGCAGGAAGAGGTGGGGAGACCCTACCTCAAAAACTAAATACAAAAAGGCTGAGGGTGTGGCCCAAGTGGTAGAGCACTTGTCTGGCATGTTTGAGGCCCTGAGTTCAGTCCTCGGTACTGAAGAATAAAGTTTACTTTGGCTCACAACTATCCAGATGGCCAAGGTCTAGAGCTCACCTTTGGCAATAGATGGGGACCTTCTTGCTGGTAGAGTCCCAGGGCAGTGCAGTCATCATATGCTGAGAAACAGGGAGTTCTCGTGTATTGTGTCCTCTCTTCTTACAGAGCCACCAGGACTCACTCACAGGGGCTCTGTATTAACAATCAAGTCCTAATCACCTCCAAAAGCCCCTCTAAGTACCCTAGTTGCACTAAGTTTCCACCCTCTTAATAACTCAATAGAGATTACATGTCACACGTGAATCCTTGGGTGGTGCACTCAAATCATATTCAGTCTATTGCAGTAAGCAGGCATAAATTTAAGGTGAAGATATTGGGAGCTGCATCCAAGTGTGGTCTCATGTTAGAACCAGAGGCAGTTAGATTTTGTTCTGTGTATGAAGAAGGAACTTAGCTATATTTGCACACCCTTGGGTGGAGGCTTCTCTCTGGAAGCTTTTAAACCTAGCATGAAACTAACATCTTGAAAAGGAGCACATATTACCCAAAGGAAAATTTTCTTACAAGAGCAAAGCTGTTCCAGGCAAGGAGGCTCACACCTATAACCGTAGCTACTTGGGAGGCAGAGATCAGGAGGATCATGGTTCAAAGCCTGCTCAGGCAAATAGTTCATGAGGCCCTAGCTTGAAAATAAAATGAACACAAGACAGGGCTGGCAGAGTGCCCCCCCCACGCAAAAAAAAGCTAACTCGGTGTGGTGGCACACACCTGTAATCCAGCATTGCGAGAGGCTGAGGTGAGAAGCATTGCTGTTCCCTCGTTTTTTCCCACAGCTTCACCTACTTGTGGTATTTTAACACTCTGCTCAATGATCACACACCAGACAAAAAGCAGTCTCGTCAAACGTTTAAGATTCAAGCTTACTGGAGAACAAAAAGTGTCACCAGTCATCCTGTGTAAATAAAAACCTCTTGCTCCCATTCAGCCAGCACTAGGATGCATCCATCTTATTTGACTGTGATAAGTTCCTCTGACTATGAATGTCTGGACTTCAATCAGTGTGGTTGAGAAATTGCTTCTGAAGCCAAATTCAAATGTGTTCAGTTAAGCGTGTGTTATTATACGACTATTGCTTTTCCCATTTAAAGAGTGGTTTATATGAAAAGAGAACAATTTGCCTTTGGGACAAAGTACTCAGTGTGGTTTGGGGGTGGGTCATTTCCATTTTTGGTGAGCTCTTTGGTGACATTGCTTGTAACCTGACCATAGATGTACCTAACTTTGACCTGTGGTTCCTCTCCTCCTTAGGCATAATGACATCAATAGAAAAATGAAGAAATCCTACAGCAGAAAGCACATCGCTGAGCCAGAGTCAAAGGAACTCTTCCTGTAAATTACTCTTGTCACTCTCACAGTGCCCGCTGGACACTATTGGAAATTACTGGACTACCCACTGTGGAAACAGAACCATAAGAACAAAGCCTCACCAGCAGAAGAACTGTGTTAGGATGCCTTAACTTTATATATAAGACTATGTAAGATACATTTTTGGAGGTGATATCTGTATATATCACTTGTTTTTTAAAAAGATGCTGTTAAGAGCACGATCAGGCAAATTACGTTTGTTAACATTGGATTGGTTCACCCTCCTCCCAGGCCACTCATCTAGCCATGACACCATTTGTACGTCATCAGTTGCATGAGTATTTGCTAATGTTGGTTGAACTTCCCTTGCCCCACAACACAGGCAGCTTTGGCTCAGCTCCTGGATGAAGCCAGGTCAATGCTATTGTTTTCTGTCAGGAGTGTTTTTTTCTGTCATTTCTACTTTTTTATAAAGGAAATAAAACAATGTTAACAGCCACCCATAAGCTTTGCAGCACCTACTTTCTAATAAATCTGTGATGTTCTGATTTCTAAAGAGCTTTGAAAGTATTTTGGTTGTTGATATTTGATTTCAAGGATAAACTGCCCTGTTTAGCTATTTTCCCATGGGGTCATATAAAACATTCTGTATTTCATTAAGTACTAATGGGTCAGACAAGTGTATAAAGTAAGTAAGCCAATCCTCTGCCTTCTCAAATCTCAGTGTTGACATGGGAAAATACCAATGACAACTAAGGATTTAGTCCCTTCTCGGGACACTTTTTCTGCCTCTAACACATTATGAGGCTGTCTAATCCGTTTAGGAGACAGTGTGGAGCCCAAGTTCATAACAGCCTATTGTTTGTGCAACTCTTTCTATCCATGTACGCAGTAAGTTCCAGAAGGTTTTATCTTATCATGTTGAAACGCTTAAGAGTTTTGTTTTCAACGTGTTGGCATGGCCTACAAGAGGCCTGTCGAGTTTTAGTTTGAAAGTAGCATGTATTCTTAGCAGTAGGAGGGAGCTCTGTACGCTGTTAGCATTACTAGCAAGGTTCCTGCACTTTCCCATGAACCATCCTATGTCCTGGTTGACTCTACTTCTGGCTAGCCCTTTGGCCTTGTGCAGGTAGGGGACAATGCCTCCTTGAGAATCTGGAACAGTGCGAGATTGGTCTGTGTACACATCTGGGAAGTAGATTCCTTCCAGCTCTTATAAAGTAACATATCTGTGAATTGCAGCTAGTTTCCTCTGTCCTTGTCTGGGTCTCGTGAATTGGTGCTGTTGAGCCTGGCACCATGTGCAGTTCCATGTCTCAAATGCCGTGTCCTTACATGAGGTGCCCTGGGTCTGATCTGGGCATGTTGGCCTCCTCTATCATCTTTGATTGCTTCCTCACATTGTACTGTCCTGCCCAATTTCATGAGAGTCTAATAAAGAACATATGGCAGGCACATATGAAGTAAACATTCCTGTGTTTTCTGCCTGGTGCAAAGGAGGTGACATAAGTCACACATTGAGGTAACCTTTGTGACTTGACCCAAAATTTGGCTTATAAAAGAAAGCAAGCCCAAAGAGTCCTCTGTTCCTCAGAAGTCCCAATTTTGTTCTGAAACTATGTTTTTAAATGTGAAAGATGCAGGGTCTGGGTATTCCAAAGAAATCTTTTAAGCAAGACAGGGAAACCAATTAAACATCATAAAGAAAATTTCAAGCATTCGAAAGAAGGCTATTACCTTCCCCAAACTCTGTCTGTTCACTGTTCAGTGCCGGTGGCATCTGAAATCCTGCAGTACTAAGTACAGAAGAGCAAAGAATGAAATAGACTAAAGAGAAAAGCTGAGCAGTTTAGGACAGGCAGGCTATGGACTGTGCCTTGCATGTTTAACATAACTAACTAACATTGCATGTCTTTAGTGTCCAAGTTCTTCATGAGATCAATAAATTGGGGTTGCTTGAAATTAGTAGAGATGATGTTTTCCTTACAAACTTGGTTTTTGTGCAGCATTTTTCTCATGAAAATAACAGCGCTTTTATTTTTCTGTAGGAATTCAGACACGTTTACATGGTAAAGAAAGAGTGTTTCCTTTTAGAAAGCAGAACTTTCTAAAGTCTGCTTCCCATTGGGCTAGTAAAATGGGTAAAGCTCTGTGTGCCTAATTACATGCAGCAGACTATGAAACTAGGCTCCATTGTAAAAAAAAACAATCACAACATCTGTCAGCATCTTGTAAAGATTGGCTTCTTTTATGCCTCTAAAGGGACTTGTATTGCCAAAGTTGAACACATCAAATTAAGAATGTTTCCTAGAAAAAATAACAAAATACCAGACCATCACCACTGTGAATGGATTGACTTCCCATTGTTTATTCCTATTAAAAATTAGTACCAAGATTCCAACACTAGCAAGAAAATTCTGGATGTGCATCACGGCGTGTGGAGTGGGTATGAGACTCAAACAATATCAAATAAGACAGGAGAATTTTTTTCTCAAGGTGAATAGTAACAAACAACATGATACAGGGTAAAGAAAACAACTGTAAAACAAATACCTAATTTTCTAAAAGACTGATACAGTCTTTTAGACTGTATCAGTCTTTTAGTCTTATCTGTAAGACTGATGTTGAGTTGATAAAGCTAAATAAGAAAAAGGAATTCATTGCAACAGTGGGTACCATTTCCTCCCATAAAAATAAAGTTCACTCTATCTATTGCTCATAACTCTTTGCTGATGGGCCTCCCTTTATATCCTGTGTTATCACTGTATTATTCCCTTCCTTCTTTATTGCTTTGTTTCATATGCAAGATAAGCACTTGATTCCTATTTCCTAAAGAGACTACAAATTTGTTGATCTCAACATAATCTCTGTGTCACCTCTCATAGATGGTGGTTAGTAAATATCTACTAACATTTTTTCAACCCCCTATATCCATCTTGCTTTTCTTCTTCTTATCTCTTCCTCAATCTTTTTCTTCCATTCCTTCTTCACCCTCCTTTCTGTTTCTTTCTCCTACTTTCCTTCCCTCCTTTATTCTCTCTTCCCCCTTTTTTGCTATCATCTTCCCTCCTTTTTTTTTTAATTTTTCTCTGCCCTCTAATCAAAAGATCTCAAAACCCTATAGGTAGGATCTTCTTTGAAAGGTGCCTGGCAAAGAAATTACAAGAAGTAAAAATGTGCTGGACCAAGTTTACCATGAAAAGTAAGTCAGCTGTATCTTCCTGCTGTCTATGTAAGTAGAAACATCTTTCCATACACTGATGAAATCACAAACTGAGTACCTCCTAAGAATGAGGCCCTGTGCTGGTGCCCAGAAGGTACTGTCAACATTTCAGATCCCAGAAGTTAGATCAACCTTGCCAGATGCCCTTGAAATTAAGGATGATCATGTGACTCAGTCTGGCCAATGAGAGGTAGATCAGGGCTTTAGGAAATCTGATAGAGGAAAACTTGGCCCTCAACTTTTCCCCTTGAACATAATTCTTCTTCCTCTCTGGGGTACAGCACAATCTCTTTAGCTGTTACATCAAAAAGTATCATGCCAAAAAATGGAAAGCAAGACAGAGAAAGGAATCTGATTCCTCGAGCAGCTGCTCAAGTTCTGAACTATACCCTACATGATTTGTTGAGTAAAATGAGCTCTCTTAATTGACCAAATCACTGGTAATTGACCAAATTCCTGTAGGACCAGTCAAATATAGAGACTAAGTGATGTACTCAGTTGACAGAATAGAGTACGCATTCAGGTCAATGGAGTAAAGAGCAACATTTCATTAAATTTTATTTTCACCAGGTTTTGGGGACATTGACTGGGATTTAGGATTGAAGTGTGTTTTGCTAGTTAGTTTAGTCACAGTACATACAAAATCCTATAAAACTCTGAAAAGCACCACCTTCAGAAACAAAGGACATATTCCCCAGCCACTTGGCTTCTCCAGGAATTGCCCTTGGCTGAAGAGAGCTGCCTTGCCCAAGGGCATACCCCTTCCCTGGGCATCCTGTATCCAGTGACTAAACAATGTGGAGATACACAGTCTAAGCCCCTCACCCAACTCTGGACAACTCCAAAAAGCCATTTCAACTCCAAAGCAAATAATAGATTTAGCCCAACTTCTTCCTTTGCTATTCTGCTTCCTTCCCTACCATATGTGTTGATCCCAAGAGCCAGCTGCACTCTATACACCAATCTCAAAGTCAGAGTCTATTTAAACAGTGAATCCTATCTTTGACAGCATATTAGCATGTTCAAGTCTTGAAGTCCCAGAAAAGAAACTTGCTTGGTTGTGTTTGGTGCTTAATTTACTTGTACATCAGAGGACTTTTCTTTAAGAACACTTTTCACATTCCCCACAGTGGTTTCCTCTTAATATTATTGAGGCATGTTGGAATCACTTTTAATACATGTATGGAATTTAAACCATTCTACCATCATGAAGGTCCAGTATGTATGCTTGAGTAGAAGCTATTTAGGCAAACTTTAAAGGAATGCAGGCAACTTTATATTCTATTTGAATGGAATTTCATTTGTTTGCTAATGATATCAAGTTGATACTTAATATAGTAGCCTGTGGTCATTGTTATTGAAACGTACCATTACCAGGGTCTTTCCGTAGGCTATGGGTCCAGATGCAATCCATCAAGCTCTTCATTGCTGATGTTGAACTATACTCCAGGTCTCCATAGAAACATCATCTCTGCACTTTGGCATTTATCAAAGATCAATATAAGAAATAGCTAAGTAGAAAAAAGTTTCCATATATTTTTATAAAATGCATTAAAGCCATCCCATGTTTAAAAGGCTAATGACTCTATAAGGGATTATAAAATAAATTCCTCTTAGAGTTAGTGCTGGGAGGAAAACTGCCTCTGTAGAAAACTGGCATGCTTCTTTTTATTAGCTAATAAGAACCTTATACAACTTGTGTTTTCCTTTTTGTCTTGCCTGCCAAGAAAAGGTCAAAAGTAAAGTTTGCATTCAATCACAGTAGCAATCCTTAGTCTAGGTTTTTCTTAGAATCCCTACCTCTCCACCCTACCTCTTTCCTTTGTTCTTACTTTTTGATCCTTTTTTAATGGTTGAAATATACCTGTGTTTTCTGTTATAAGCCATCTCTAGAACTGAAAATATGTTGGCTGAAATAAATGTAAATGTTTCCATGTTTTCTTTTTGTTTTTTCCTAGCCTACCCCCTACCTGCCAAATCCTGCTTATTCATTTTATTTAACTCACGTTGAAACCCACACTAACTGTGTGCAAGGCAATGCTGATTCAAAATATAAGACAAACGTTGCCTTCGAATTGCTTGTTGTCTGCCAAGGATGGGTGAAATCTCATGCACACATATGTAAAGTAAGTGGGTGAGGGGACCACGGGGGCAATTTTGTTAGGAACATGGAGAAATCACTTTAGATTTGGCTGAGATCAGGCAGATGCCTCGTAAGGTTGACATTTAATAGAGGCAAACTCAGATACAGTGGTTGGCTACCCATAGCCTCATGTACTATGATTAAGCATCAAAATGATGGTCACAGACACAAACACAGTATACTGTATGTCTATAGCCAAACAGCAGCACCGGTAGCTTGTCAAAATCAGAGATCCTGGCAAAATGTTCAGTCAGCCCTTTCTTTAATCAACAGTATTTTCCAACCCACAGACAGGTG